AATAGACTGCAAAGTGAATTAATTGACTGTATATTTTGTGGGCAAAATATCTGACTTACTCTGCGCGTGAAAGATTTCACTGAGTTCTCTGTTGCTTTTAGCAAGCTTGGCAAACAGCCTCTCCAGGCTTGTTCTGTGAATTCAGTCCAGGTTGACATTCCAGAGGGGGAGAGGTGGTGGGGGGGGGTGGGGGGGGGGGGGGGGGGTGGGGGAGTGCTGCATTGTTATAGATGGATGAGACGTTAAACTGAGGTCCTGTCTGCCTTTTCAGTTGGATTCAGATCCCATGGCACTTATTCGAAAAGAGAAGGAAGTTTCGCTTGGTTTCTCATCGATCTTCCAGAAAAATTGGTCATTCGCTCCATGCCGTTTGTGAGACTACCATTGATGATTTAAGTTCTGTTTCCACCGAATTCTCATCTCCTCTCTAGGTATACCATCTGTTCTCCCCATCTGCTGCTAGGCTATCCTTTGACAGAAGGGTGGTCAAATGAGCTGCTACTGGTGAGAGGAAGTGGATGGAACATAATTAGTTGCAAACAACTTCCTGCTCTTTCTCAGGGCAGCACATTTAAATCGCCAAAACCGTGCTGCTAGCCCTATGTTTCCAATAAAACTTCCCGTGTTGCAACTTTATTCCATATTCCACCCCCCCCAACCATCACCTCCAACCGTCAGTGAAGCAGTAATCATCCTGTAAATATTGGATCATGTGCATTGTGTATGTTGTGTGCTTCATCACCTGTAGCTATGGAAACTACAAGATAATCATGTGTTTTTGCGTTCTGACAGCAAACAGATAAAAGGTCAAACCCACTGGCTCGGCTCGGCTCAGGAAGGAACAGACTTTTCAAGAGTCATAGCAGTATGTTTACGGCTTCCGGTGAGAATGCTTTCAGACCATGGGCTGCGTGTGGCAGCTCACAAGTCAGTTTCACAGCAGTGTACTGGGGATTTTCATAGAATTATATAGCACAGAAGGAGGCCATTTGGCCCATCATGTCTGTGCCGACTCTTTGAAAAGAGTTATCCAATTCAACCCCACTCCCCCCTCTCTCTCCATAGCCCTGCAAACTTGCCCTCCCCAAATAATTATCCATTTCTCTCTTAAAAGTTGTTATTGAATCAGCTTCCACCACCCTTTCAGGCAATGCATTCCAGATGCCAACAACTCTCTGTGAAAGAATTTTCCCTCACCTCCCCTCTGTTTCTTTTAATAACTATTTTACATGGGTGTCCTCGGGTTACCGACCCACCCGCCAGTGGAAATAATTTCTCCTTGTTCACCCTATCGAATTCCCTCATAATTCTGAAAACTTCTGTTAAGTCTCCTCCTAACCTTACCTGTTCCAAGGAGAATACCCCTCGCTTCTCTGGCCTCTCCTGATAACTGAAGTCCCTCATTCCTGATATCATCCTAGTAAATCGCCTTTGCATCCTCTCTCTAGTTGAGGTCTAACCAGTGTTTTATAAAGGTTTATCATAACTTCCTGATTTTTGTATTCTATGCCCCTGTTTATAAAGCCCAGTATCCCGTACGTTTTTTTTAATAAAACAGCTGTCCTGCCAACTTCAAAGATTTCCTTATATGAACCCTCAGGTCCCTCTGTTCCTTCACCCCTTTAACATTCTCCCATCAGCTTATATTGCCTCTCCTCATTCTTCCTTCCAAAATGCATTACTCAGCATTTCTCCACATTAAACTTCATCTGCCACATGTCTGCCCATGTTACCAGTCCATTTTCGGTCTGCCACTGTCTCCTCACTGTTTACTATTTTTCCTAGCTTAGTACCATCTGCAAACTTGGAAATTGTACTCCCTATACCCAAGTCCAGATCTTTTATATCCATCGAAAGGCTGCATCTTCTTTTGTGAAGACAGATGCAAAGTACTCATTCAGTACATCAGCCATGCCCTCTGCCGCCACAAGAAGACTTCCCCTTTGGTCCCTAATTGGACCTTTGACTAACCTTTTATTCTTTATATGCTTATAAACTACCTTGGGGTTCCCTTTTATGTTACCCGCTAATCATACAATCTCTTTGCCCCTCCTATTTCCCTTTCCAGTTCTCCTCTGTACTTCTATATTCTATTTGAATATCTTCTGTATTTTGCACCTGATTTTTATCATAAGCCTCCTTTTTCTTTTTCTGTTTTATTTTAATCCCAATTTTCTTATTCATCCAGGGAGGTTTGGATGCCCTACCTTTTCCCTTTGTTGGAATGTATTTGTTCTGTCCTCGTTGAAGGCTTCCCATTGCTTGTTAGCTATTTTATCTGCCAATCTTTCTTTCCAGTCCACCTTGGATAGGTCACATTTTAACTCATAGAAATTAGCCCTCTTCCAATTGAGTATCTTCACCTTTGGTTGTTTCTTGTCCCTTTCCATAAGTACTCTAAACCTAATGATGTTGTGGTCACTGTTGTCCAGATGCTCTCCTACTGAGACCTGCTCCACTTGCCCCACTTCGTTCCCCAGAACTCCAACACTGCTTCCTTCCTCGTTGGGCTGAAAACATTCTGATCCAGAAAGTTATTCTGCACACATTTCAGGAACCCTTCCCCCTCCTTGCTCTTTACACTGTTATTTTGCTAGTCTATGTTAGGGTAATTGAAGTCCCCCATTATCACTACCATATTGGTTTTGCATCTTTCTGAAATCTCCTGCAGATTTGCTCGTCTGTCTCCTTCCCACTATTTTGCGGTCTCTAGTATACACCTAACAGAGTAACAGCTCCTTTTCTGCTCCTTAACTCTAACCAAATAGATTCTGATTTTCGACCCTCTATCCCTCCTGAATATATTGTAGCCAGCAATACTCAGCTCCCAGTCCAGCCCTTGTTTGATCCAGATCTCCGTTATTGCCACCACATCATAACCCCATGTGGCAACTTGAGCCTGCAGCTCACCAATCTTATCTGTTACACTCCGTGCATTTACATACATGCACTCTAAGACCAACTTAGTTTGTTCTTTATTTCTCTTCCGTCTACTCCCTCCTTTTTCTGGATTATTCCTGATCATATTACTATTTGTCTCTCCCAGTCCTCTAAGGTAACTTGTTTGTCCTCTCTTATGCTATATCCTGATTCCCTTCTCCCCTCAAAATTAGTTTAAACCCTTCCCCTTGAAGATAGACTTTCCGAACAGACCCCATTTGCCATCCGAAACCACTTGCGTCTTATCTTCGCCAAATTTATATAAACAACAGTGAACAAGTTGAAACAGACAGCCCCAGGGAGGCGGGCAGTCAGTGGAGGCAGATTGCGTCAATAAGTTCAGATTCAAAACTATTTTCAGAAGAAATTGATTGAAGTGTATGCAAGAGATAGTGTAGGATTTTTTTATTTAATGTTTTTTGCCTTGGGCTTTTGCAGCGTTGGACATTCCTCGGTTTCTATTTAAAGCTCAAATCTCAGAGGAGTTTTGAAAATGTTTTAGTCCTTGATCCGAATGAAAAGATAAGGGTTAAGTTACTCACATGAAGAACATGTTTCTATTAAACACTTTGAAGGCAGACACACTGATCCAGGCAATAAATATTCCAGCACCTTTACACGGAATCAGACAACTGAAGGAAAGCCACTCGATCAAAGTGGTTCATAAACTATCAATAAGTTTCCAAACACTTGATGAAATGATATAAATCACGTGTACTACCCGTGAGTGACAGAACAACAAAATGACATCTGTCTCTTTTAATACCTGCCTCCAAATAACCTTTGCCAAATACCTCTCCATCCAGACAATGTAAAGAGCTTTCTCCTACGCAGAAGACGCTAAACAAGTGGTTATTAATGTAAGGTAACGTTTGTTTGAGGTGTCAGTGAGAAACCATGATTATCCTGTTTTTCGCCTTTCAAAACCACCACGAGATTCAATGTTAATTCGGAACACCGAATTAACACCGTGGGTTAGATGTAAACAGTCCAAGAGACACGAGCAGCTGACTTCAAATACCAAATACTGTAAACTTGGAATGGGTGCATGTTGGTTGGGAGGGGGGGCTAAGGTGAAAAGAGAACCAAATTCAACCACTGGAGTTTCAGTCTGATGTTACTTCCTACGTGAGATCTGTTTCCCTAACACTGTCTCTCTGAACAAGGGGAGTTATTATAATAAATAATAATCATCCTTGCATTTGATGTAGTATATCCTGTGAAGCATTTGATACAGACATCTTTGAGACGTCTCAAAGCGCTTCACAGGATATACTGTAATGTGAATTGACTGTATATTTTTGTGAGCGAAATGCAGTAGCCAAATTCTTGATCTTGCATGACAGCTTGATGTTGTAATGGGAGGATGGTAGGAGAGGATGGGGATTCTGGAAATATGAGACAGAATTAGCCAAATGGCTTTCTTGTGATGGGGCCACGTGACCACGATTCATGGCTGCAAGCCAGACTCCCAGAAACTCCCAGCTTCTCCATCAGAAGTCAATCTAATAACAAGCTCTAACGTCAGGCTGGAAATATTGATCCTGCCTCTCACCACCCACCTCCTCCCAACACACACACACACACACATACACCCCTGGCCCCCACATGCATTGCACACGGTCTGTCAGAGAATCTCTACTATAATTTGCAATACTAACAGTGAGAGGGACACTGCTCAACGGCAGTGATTCAATCCAACTCATCCTTCCCCTCACCCCTCCACCCCCCGAAAAAGAGGAACTTTTTTGAAAGATACATTTCGAAACCTGGATCCATTTATATATTAGCCTCAAAGCCTTTTAGAAAACAAAGCCTTTAAAAAGACTCCCAAAGACCTCCTAGCATTCCGCTCGGAAAAAATTGTTTGAATTATTTAGATCCAACAGATATCCTCCTCCCCTGATCCACACGGATTCTGGGTATTACACACGATCCTGTGCCTCTAATCCCATACAGGTGTAAACAGAAGCCCTCACCGGTCAGTGTCAGCTCAGACAAGCATGCAAAGGGAATGGGAAAGCAGTTGGAAAAGCAGGAATCTGGGAGCACGGTCTCACCCTGAAGTCTATTCCGACGGTGGCAATGAAGCTTCCTGCCAGAAAGGCGTTGTCTTTGAACTGCACCAGGAAGCAGGTCTTGCCCACTCCGGAGTCCCCGATTAACATGACCTACAGCACGTGCAAAATGCCATTAGACCCTTCACCAAAACAGAGAGCTTTAAAGAGTGCATGAAATCATCATTCAATATTTCAGACTACAGCAAATTGAACACAAGAGATCCAGCAAAGTCCTCCCCACTGAACTCCAATTACCCTTCAGCATACACCACTGATCCATTCTCCACTATTCTTTCTCTCTCTCTCTACTCAGGTTCCAAGCCCCATAGTGGCTCCAGAAATAAGATGCTGTCTCCCCTGGAGTAACTCATTTTACGCCTCCATTAAATCAGTAATACACAAGTGGTCTGAAATTAGTTATGTTTGAGCACACAACAGTTAGATGATAGCAGCCAGGGAAAATGTCAAAACTCTTAATATTTGAACAGGAGATAACAAATATGTCAAAAGACCACTTTCTGGAGGTTTTAAAGCAAGGAGTGCACTAAAAACATGACACCCCCAACATCCAGCAGACATTGTTTGAGCTCCATGATTAGGCTGAGGTTTCAAGGGCTGTAAAACAACAAATCGCTTGGAGATGGGGAAACACCTAAGGAGATTAAGCAGAAGATTTGTAATGTATCTACAGAGATAAGGATGTCAATTACCACTGTTAAACATTACATTAGACTGGAAGTATTAAGTGTGATTTTTCAAGGATTTGCACTGCGACTACACCTGCTTCTTGTATACATCAAGGACCTTGATATCTTGGATACACAGACTCTGTGTAAGGTCATTAAATTTGAGGTGAAATCTTAAGGGAATCAGAAGAGACACCATAGGTCTTACATAGAGAGCTCGATAAGATACGCTTACAGGCTGACGACTAGCATATTTTGGAGTCCTGTAGCTTAGAGAATCTGGGTTTGATTCCCAGGCGGTGGGTGAGGGGGACAAGTTTCCTTACTCAACACTCCTCTGTTTAACAAGTAGGAACCCACTTGTAAGTCGATTGGCAGATCCCTTTTCCGGAGGTTATGATCCCTTAAACAAATCATCATTTGGTCACTGATTCCACAACTGCTGTGCTACTGGCTGTCACATTTCGTCCACAAAATATACAGTCAATTCACTTTTATGAAACGCGTTGAAATATCTTGAAGAAGTGATAAGGTGCTATATCAAATGCAAGGATAATTATTATTATAATTGAGTTTTTATACAGATAAATACAAGTTACTGAAAGATCCAGCTCTTTGATCACCATATCAAAACAGGGTGAGGCAGCAATAGGGATGTGGGCTATATCACCTAAACCAATCGAGATCACATACTCAAGCTGTATGTATAGTGCTCTGACCAGACACACCTGGAATACTGCATACTTTCCTAGTCACTACAAGATAAGGAAGCTGTTCAGACCCTAGACCCTAGAGACGGTGTAGAGGATGATCCCCAATCAATGAGCTATGAGACTGGACAAGCTAAATCTGTCCAAACTTGCCTTCAAATTTGAGAGGGTTTTTTTTGCATCTATTGGTGGATAGCAAACACATGAATGAAAGCATGCCAAACAGTCAGAAAAAAATCATGTCGCAACAAAGAATGTTAAAAATAGGCTTTGAGAGGCTGCCATAGAAGTTAATTAGCTGTGTAATTGCTTACCCTGGCTGTACAGTGATACAATTACTCTGATTTCTACATTAACATATGCAACAAACAGAGTTTAGACTCAGATAGGTGTTAGAATTTAATACAAACAGGACCAAACAATCAACTATTCTGGAGGAGCCTTCTCACCCTCCCATAACTTGTGCCATGATTGGCAATTGAATGGCCACTGAAACGGTGGTGGCCTTTGTATACTGACGGAGTTGCATTCAGCGCGGAGATTAAGGTATGAGCTATAAGGAATGACTGAGTAAGATTGGATTCTTCGACCTTCCAAACAAGCGTTTCAGAGGGGACGGCAGAGATATACAAGAACAAAACTTTGACATGGCAAACCAGCAGGACAGGTGGTCAAAGGTTCAGAGCTCTGAAGAGTAAAGTTAAGGACAGACAGCAGCAAAGATTTTTCTTTACCCGTGATTAAAGACCGAAAGCAGGTCACTAGGAAGGGCAGCTGGGGCCAGGATTCAAGAAACTGCTGGATGCTCTAATGCGAAGGCGGTAGGGAGGGTGGCTATTCTGGAAGGGTGAGATCAAATGGGCTAAAGGATTTCCTTCATTTGAAAGAATGAATGTGGATGTTGGGAACTCAGGTACATTCTTTAATTGTACCCAGACCACAGGCAATACATACTAACACTGATCCCCTCCCCCCAGGCCAGGTCACAGAAACAGGAGTAGATGATTCAGCCCCTCAAGTCTGTTCTGCCATTCTATAAGAACATGGCTGACCTACACTTCAACTCCAATTACCTGCCCTTGCCCCATATCTCGTGATACCCTGACCTAACAAGTCTCTATCCAATGAACCATCTCCTCCAAACATCTCTAATCTTGTTTCAGCTATCTGCCCTGTCTTTCATTTTGTACAAAGCTGCCTTTATTGATACATCAAATATTAGTTTGGGTGGAAGGTTTTGCAAGGATTATTCATTATTTTAAGATCCAATTGACAATAAATGTTCCATTCCCCACCTTGCTAAGCACACAAAATTAATGAAATTGTTTGATTGACGGTGTGACCATTCTTCCAGTCAAAAACATAAGTTAAAAGAATTAGCTTTGAGTTTGAGATTTAAGTTTGCATGACTAACATCCTAGGAATGCCAACCATTAATATGCCTCCCTCCCCATTCTTGTCCTGTATCAATATTTGGATGCAAATATTTACTTCCATCAAAACCTCAACTGAAAGTGCTAACTTGAATGTGGTCATAACACTGAGGCAAACTGAAAACAGGTTAAAACAGTGACGCAAGCACAAGGCGGCGAATGAAAGAAAGACCATTTATGCCAATTCCTTCCTCAGCCCAAATGCAAAGCAGATTCCATTTCAACGCATTTCACTTCCTCAGGGAAGCTTCTGAAAAGCTGATCCCTAAAGGACGCTGAAGAAAATCAGAATCTCTCTTGGAGAAAGGATGACTCAGGGGAGACCTTATTGGCATTTGCAAACTCTAATGGGAGAATAGAAACACTGATCATCATAAAGCCTCTGCAGCGAGCGAGTGAGCAATTAATCTCAGAAGCGATGGTTCAGATGCAATTACTTTACACACAGGGAGCAGAAATACACAGGACAGAATCTTCAAAAGGATTTGATAGTGGTAAATTAATTCCCCCCCTCCCCCCACGTACATTCTATGCTCTCTCCTTCCCAATTGAGCATTGAGTCACCTCTCTCAATGAGAGAAAATCACTTTTCTTCTTAATCCTCTGTTAGCCAGATATTCATCCAACTTTTATATATTTTTTCCAAAAACCTTAACACAACTGCTTTTGTTATCCCAAAAAATCTATCCCTGGGGGGAAAAACAAAAATTTCTTCCAACATGGTTGAACTTGTTCTGATCTTGTATTCTGCTCTCGCTCCTGGTATCTGCACTACCAGCTTCTCCGCATTGGTTTCCTTCATCGAGAACAAGTTCCATGGATGATCTTCATTCTTCCTGGAGACCTTATCGCAACAGGCTAGTAATGAAAATGGACAGGCTGAGTTCGCAGTGCAAGTGCTTAGTGTTTTCTTGTAACTTTACACTGCCTACCGCACCACCAGCATTTCACCTTGCACCCAACAAGTCATGATTGACAAAAGACAGCACGAGAACCATCAGCTTTCCCATGGTCCCATCAACAAGTGTATTTTAATCTGTGCTCAAGCTGCTCTGCTCACCAGGCATCACTTGAGTTTTTTATCCTGTGCAACAGCCAATATGGTGATATATTATTTAAAGCTTTGATGAATAAATTAAGCATGTAAAAATGACTTTTAAAAAGCGGACCCACGCAATGATTTCCAACAATCAGCTCCTATTGACAGTAGACAGGTGCAACGCAGTTAAGAAAAATGACAAAGAATTCATTTAACAAATGTCTGGCAGAGGTTGTATTTTTTTTAAATCTTTTATAAATAGAGGGGAAGTTTGCGGTATGCCATAATTATCACAGGTGATAATCCTCACCACTATGGATAACCCTCACCATGCATTTCTCTCCCTAAATATTAAGGCTGTCGACAATTTAAATTCCACGTTACAGTCGGTTCCGTTTAGCTGCTCCGCGGAATTTGGCAATTCTGTGCTGGAACCAGGAGAATGACTTGTCCTCTTGTTCCACTGTCTTTGTTTCATAGTGTCCAGGTAAAGCCCTACCCAGCCCCCTGCTGGCGTCATTCTCCATTTTACCTCCTTTTAAGGTTGAATTTTTAAATAAAATCTAAATGAGAAAAAAAGTGGGATCGTACAGGTTTCTCACAAAATCGGTCTGGATGAAGAAGGCTCTTTGGCCCATCCAATCTCATTCCCTCCAAAACACCCATCCTACTATTTCTCCTTCCCTCCTCCCCAATCACAGCGTCAAGCTGCTTTTCAAATGAGTACTGTCCTGGTCTCTACCACCTTTCCTGGGAACTTGTTCCCTTCGTTAATTCCTCACTACTTAAAGAAAAGCTTTGTGCTATCTGTCTAACCCTTTACTGCTCTAAACCTATGTCCACTTGTTCTACTGTTCTGTTGCATCTCATTGATCTGAGTTTACTGTGACAGTGGGTTGCAATACTCCCGTTAAGGACTTTGTCCTGTATTTGGGTACAGTCGTATGGCATATCAGGGCTTCTCGCTGCAACACATACATGCTTCCCAATTTATGTTCAGTTATTTATGTTCTGTGGCAGGAGAGAGTAACTGATACAGTCATGATGGGGTGGGAGAGAAAAGTCTACCTTGTAAATCATGTGTACAAAAGGAATCACGGATGATCCTAATAATAGAATTATGAATCAATTAAAGGATTATGGAATCATCTTTAACTGTCTGTCAATTATATAATTAAATCCCATAGCCAAAGAGTTAATTTTGCAAAAAATTTCCTCTGGCTGTTAGATACTAATCTGATGACACATTCTTTGTGATGTACCTTTCATGGCATTTTACACTGAAGAAGCACAGATTGAAGACTGATCTGCAGGGAACTGTGTTTCACCTCTATAAACTGGATTTGAATTTAGCCCAGATTCATGGGATGAAAGTAAACTTAGAAAGCCTCAGTCTCTTTGGTGAACGGCACAAAACCGCACTATCATTTGTCACTAATTGGAAATCAAATGTGATAGACTGGTTCAGTTGATACTATTCTCATCTCCAAGTCAGAAAGTCACGGATCCAAGTCTCATAACGGTGCCGACAGCAACAACCCGCTGGATAAATGTGGACATTCACTTCATGGCTGAATGTGGGGCATTGTCTTGCACAAATTGGCTGCCATGATTTGCCTACAAAATACACACTCACAATGCGTTACAGTAAAAAGAAGTGAAGTACTTTGAGACGTTTCCAGAACACGATAAGTTGCTGTACCACATAAATATTTAATTAATAATAAATCTTAATAATGAATCTCACACAATTCGCTGATAGAAAACATCACAATAGTGCCTTTGTGTTCTTTTGAGGATGGGTTCTTCAGATAGTAATAATATTCCTTGCATTTGTTTATTATAATAATGTCCCTTTCATTTTGATATAGCGCCTTATCACAGCCCAAAGCGCTTCACAGAATTTACTGTAAAGTGAATGGAGTGTATATTTGGTGGGTGAAAGTAGTGAAAATAGAGATCTGAATAGAGAGGGCTTCACATTGGACCTAAACAGTGCTGAAAGGAATATATAGCATGACAATACAGAGGCACTCTATGTCTGGAAGTGCTAGATGCTGACAGTGGCAAAGAAATTCTTGATGAATAGAGAATTTCATAAAAGAGGGTTGGGCTGCACAGATGAAATAACAACAATAATAATCCTTGCATTTGATATAGCGCCTTATCACGTCTTCGAGACACCTCAAAGCGCTTCACAGAATATATTGCGAAGTGAATTGACTGTATATTTTGTGGGCAAAACAATATATACATCCAACGTAGTACTTGATTTCCACAGAGACGTGCAGGGAGTTGGCACAGTTGGCTTCGTGTTTTTCTTGCTGCTGTTGTCCTGTTAGGGAGGCTAGTGATTACCGTAACAGCTTGCAACAGGATCTGCTGTAACCACTAGCAACAGCTCCTCACTACAAATACTCCGAAGGGTTTGCTCATACCATCTTTATCTGGAACCTTCCAAACCTTGATGGCATCTTAAGATCTTCAGGAACCTCTCGTTTCAAGTTTTCTCCCATCGATATGAATAGTGTGTTGACGTCAGAAATCTCCATCTTGGCTAGACAGAAATCCCTGAACCAAATGGCTTTGTAAAAAGGGGGAGAATCCGAATAACCTCACACGTGTAGTCTGTCTCAGATGGGACAGCTCTGTTATCAGAGGTAACGTCCATCTGATAAGACGTTAAACTCTATCTGTCTAGCTCTTAAACAACTCGTGGCACTCAAAGAGAAGGGAGATTCTCCCTATGTGCCAGGCAATAGCCCAATATATAAATTGGTTGTTCACCTTCTGGCTGTTTGTAGGACCCTGCTGTGTGCAAATTGGCTGCCGTGTTTGCTTACAAATACAGTCACTATAAGTGGCAGTAATTACTGTGCTGTGAAGTGCTTTAATATGTTTGTTTAATCGTGACAAAAGCCTATGTTTTTTTAACTGCCACCAGTTTCTTTCTCTCCTGACAAGTCAGAGGTACAATTTAAAATAAACCAGCCTGTTTGAGAAATGGTCTGCAGCTCAAACCAGAGTTTTCAGGATCATAGGGATAGAGGTTGGTAGAGTAGCCCTTCACATTCCAAAGACATTTGCATGTCACTCCTTTCCAGTGGTCTATCAAATAATAATAATCCTTGCATTTGATATAGCACCTTATCAAGACTTCGAGACGTCTCAAAGCGCTTCACAGAATATATTGTAAAGTGAATTGACTGTATATTTTGTGGGCGAAACGCAGCAGCCAATTGCGCGCAGCAGCGTCCCACAAACAGTCGTGGAATCAGTGACCAAATTATTTCTTTTGAAGGGATTATTACTCTTGAAAAGTGATCCGCCAAACGACTAACAACCGGGTTCCTACTTACTGCTAATAGGCGTGTGGAGTAAGGAGACTTGCCCAACATTTCGCCGTGCTGGGAATCTGACCCAGGTCCTCTCACTTAGGAGGCAAGTACTCTAACCATTAAGCTACAGGACTCCACTAATAGAGTACTAATAGAGTCAAATTGGTATTCAGTGAGTGACAACAGTGTTACAGCCACATCATCACCAATCCCCCCTTCCAGCACACACACCCTTCCCAGACACCACTTGCCAAAACCTTCAGAGAGGAAAAACACAGGGATAACAACGCGAAACCGTTGCCCAGAGGGAAATAACTGCATTTTTACACTACATACAGCACCTTCGGGCTTCACTTCTCACTATCACTGGCTGGAGTCCATCAGTCTTCTTTGCTTCCTCCCCCTGACAGTGAAAGATCAGAGGAGAAGCCTCCTCCTCTCTCCTGAAATCTTGCAAATAATAATTCCGCACTCTCTCGGAGTGTTAAATGCCATGGTTTAAATACCATTCCGCTCAGGGTGAATTGAAAAGAAAGGTTGGGTGGGGAAAAAAACAACAATTAATTGAAGATTGACCACAATCCTGTGTGGGACACCCTCCACATCAACATACACACACACACACATATATAAAACATAGAAATAAATGGGTGGGAATAAATATCTCTCAATCTAATTTGCTGGATCTCTCGCTCCAAGTTTTAATTTTGTTTTAAACACAATGTGAGTGAGATTTCAAAGGGAGAAAGATTTTGCAAACCTTGCAGGTTAAATCGTAGAGCTCACTGCTGGACCTGGACCTGTTGATGGGAGGTTTGCCATCTCCGTTGAGAGTATCAGCAGAGGTTTGGTGAGAACTCTTCCTCAAGGACATGGTCGGTTGGTTGGTTGGTTGCAAATGGACAAGTGACAGCAACGACAACAACAACAAAAAAACACAGAGGGAGGAAAAGGGGAAAAGGAGAGATAGAGAGAGAGAGAGAGAGAGAGAGATGAAGAGAAAGAGAAATAAAGAAGAAACAACCCCCCCAAAAAAAAAAGAAATAAAGAGAAGCAACAGTCCAGGGCTTTGCTGGAACCAGAATCAGATCAGATCCGACTTTGCGAAGGAGTTGAGAGGAGTGGATCAACAGTTTGCTGGAGATGTGGTGTCTCGCCTGAGCCTCGCGGACCTCCACAGCTCCATCCTCCCACAGTGTGATGGACCACTGATGGCCACTGCGATGCTGTCACTCGCCCAAACCCCACTGGGCATCATCAGGCTCCGTACAGGTAAGTCATCTGTGGACTGATGGAGAGAGAGGGAGAGCCACACAGAGAGGGAGAGGAGAGAGAGAGAGAGAAGAGAGAAAGATAGATAGAGAGAGAGAGAGAGGAGGGACTCGAGGCTGTGTCATCATCACACAAGGAAGGAGCGGTGGGGAGTCACAGAGAGAGAGAGCGTTGCTTCACTGTTTTCAGTTTCGCTTTAACTATTTGCAATCCGACAAATTGTTAGTTGTTTGTTTCTGTCTACAGTGTATGGGGGGGGGGAGGGTGGGGCTGGGAGAGGGTTGGGGAGAGGGTGGTGGGGGGAGAGAGGGGTGGGGCTGGGGGGGAGAGGGGGGGGAGAGAGGGGGGGGGGTGGGGAGAGGGGGGGAGAGGGTGGTGTGGGGGAGAGAGAGAGAGAGGTGGGGGCTGGGGGAGAGAATGGGGTGTGGGGGGAGAGAGTGGGGTGGGTGGGGGAGAGAGTGGGGTGGGGGGGGAGAGAGTGGGGTGGGGGAGAGAGAGAGAGGTGGGGCTGGGGAGAGGTGGGGGTGGGGAGAGAGAGGTGGGGCTGGGGAGAGAGGTGTGGGGGGAGAGAGTGGGGTGGGTGGGGAGAGAGGTGGGGCTGGGGGAGAGGGTGGGGGAGAGAGAGAGGGGACTGGGGGAGAGGGTGGGTGGGGAGAGAGAGAGGTGGGGCTGGGGGAGAGAGAGAGAGGTGGGGTTGGGGAGAGAGGGGTGGGGTGGGGAGAGAGTGGGGTGGGGTGGGGGAGAGAGAGGTGGGGGCTGGGGGAGAGGGTGGGGAGAGAGAGAGGTGGGGACTGGGGGAGAGGGTGGGGTGGGGGAGAGAGAGAGAGGTGGGGGCTGGGGGAGAGAGAGAGAGGTGGGGTTGGGGGAGAGAGGGGTGGGGTGGGGGAGAGAGTGGGGTGGGGTGGGGAGAGAGTGGGGTGGGGTGGGGAGAGAGTGGGGTGGGGGAGAGAGAGAGGTGGGGGCTGGGGAGAGGGTGGGGTGGGGGAGAGAGAGAGAGGTGGGGGCTGGGGGAGAGGGTGGGGTGGGGGAGAGAGAGAGAGGTGGGGCTGGGGGAGAGAGTGGGGTGGGTGGGGGGGAGAGAGAGAGAGAGAGGTGGGGCTGGGGGAAGAGTGGGGTGGGGTGGGGAGAGAGTGGGGTGGGGTGGGGGAGAGAGTGGGGTGGGGTGGGGGAGAGAGTGGGGTGGGGGAGAGAGTGGGGTGGGGGAGAGAGAGAGGTGGGGCTGGGGAGAGAGTGGGTGTGGTGGGGGAGAGAGGGATTGGGGTGGGGGAGAGAGAGAGATGGGGGCTGGGGAGAGGGTGGGGTGGGGGAGAGAGGGGTGGGTGGGGGAGAGAGAGAGAGGTGGGGGCTGGGGGAGAGGGTGGGGTGGGGGAAGAGAGAGAATGGGTTATCTCATTTGTGAAGAAGGAATGGTGTAATTACTAGTCATAAAATAATAATAATAATAATCCTTGCATTTGATATAGCGCTTTTCACGTCAGGAGGACGTCCCAAAGCGCTTCACAGAACACACTGTAAAGTGAATTGACTGTATATTTGTGGGCGAACGCGGCAGCCAATTGCGCACAGCAATGTCCCACAAACAGTCGTAGATTGAAAATGACCAATTTATTATTGTTTTTTGGTTTTGGAGGGACTTATTATTAGGCTCTGTGTGGAGTAAGGAAACTTGCCCAAGGTTTGGCCCTCTGCCTGGAATTGAACTCAGGTCTCTCACTTGCAAAGCGAGTGCTCTAACCACTGAGCTACAGGACTCCATATTTGCCATATGAGAAATCCTGGGAATGTTGCATTGCACACAGCGGGTATCCGGGGGCCACCCCGACATCCTTTAAGAAACCGGATTCAAATAGTTGGAGTAATATTTAAAAAACTCATCCCAAGGAGAAAAGGGCTCAGCGAAGAGTTATCTGGATTGGCGAGTTAGACATATCTATCAAGACGTAAAGACATGTGGTCAGGATATTGACGGCATGATCACTTAAGGGATAGTGCAAAGTTAACAGGGTCGAGTTATTAGGTATTTAAGTCACTGGGGGAGGCGAGGGAGGGAGGGAAGTCGTGACCCTTGAGAAAACCTGATACCTGGTCTTCCGATTGATCTATGAGGGAAAGAGGAATCTTAATTTCTGGAGCCTACGAAGACACAGGCTGAGGCGAAACTTATTGAGTATAAAAGGTGAATTAATATACAGTAAACACTGGAAACCTGAAATACTGGTTACTAATAGGGTAAGAAGGTATCAAGGAATCCTGTAGCTCAGTGGTTAGAGCACTCGCCTTGCAAGCGAGACACCAGGCAGAAAAGAAACCTCGGGCAAGTTTCCTTACTCCACACAGAGCCTAATAATAAACCCTCCAAAACAAAACAATAATGAATTGGTCATTTTCAATCCACGACTGTTTGTGGGACACTGCTGTGCGCAATTGGCTGCCGCGTTCGCCCACAATATACGGTCAATTCACTTTACAGCATATTCTGTGACGCGCTTTGAGACGTCGAGAAGACATGAAAAGCGCTATATCAAATGCAAGGATTATTATTATTAAGAAGGTGCAATTTCAGCCACAAAATACACAGTCAATTCACTTTACAGTCCATTCTGTGGAGCACTTTGAGACATCTCGAAGACATCATAAGACGTTATATCAAATGCAAGGATTATTCTTATTATCAATTTAAAACAGGTTTTGAAACTCCTTGTATAGTGTTTGGAATAATCTATTGGGTGAGTACCAAGGGAAAAATTACTTTAGAAAGAAACAGACACTGTGTCGTTAAGGCAATAACAACAACTTGCACTTATGTATCGCCCTCCACGCAGGCTAGCGTCTCAGAGCGCTTAATTCTGAGATAAAATTGATAGTAAGTTTGGCAAGATAAGATTGATACTGACCAACTTTGGTGGCCAAAGGCTTCTTCACATCCTCGACTTTCTTAAATTCTTGTGTTAAACTTTGCTCAGTCACGAGCTCAATGTTGTGTAGCATATGAAAGATTTCTGAGTTAACACTCTCCCTCACCTTAGACAAGTTTCCTTACTCCACACCTGTTTTACCTTGCAGTAAGTTGGAACCGGTTTGTTAGTCGATCGGTGGATCATTTTCCAGGGTTAATAATCCCTTAAAAAACTCGCTCAATCCACGATTGTTTGGGGACACTCTACTGTGTGCATTAGCCCGTGTTTCGCCCACAAAATACACAAGTCATTCTACTTTATAATATATTTTATGAAGTGCTTTGAGAAGTCTCAATTATGTGAAGGATTGATATTGTTTCACCTCAAGCCCAGATGTTAATAAGATCACAGGCGGCTTAGGCTGTTTTAGGCTGAGTTGGTAGCACTCTCGACTCTGACCTCAAGATCACTGGCACATTGCAAGTCATCCAAGTGACAGTGTTTCCAGGCCACAGTCAGAGATATAGGCCTTCACTGAAATAAAAAGAGTACAGGCTCGATCCTTAACTATAAGTAAGATGTAAAAGGAATCTCGCCAAAGATCTTGCCATAGACAGAGGGAGCTGGCTGACCTCACCCCCCACCCCAACCCCCCAAAAAAAGTTGTTATGTAGGCATGTTTTCTCTCAAATGAAGCTCAATGGACAAAGCATATCAAAGCAAAACGGGCGCAGGTTTTAGGCTTACGGTGGAGAATTCATTGCCACTTTGCTGAGGACTCCACAGTTTATGGCTTCCCACGATACATTAGAAGGGGCAACAGGAGGAAACTTGCGAGGGTTGTGAAGGGGACATGTGTGTTAATGGCATGTGGAATGTGCGTGTGGATAGTCAGTCAGGTGTCAGCCTGGCTCAGTTGATCACATTCTCACCTCTGGGTCAATAGATTGGGGGTTCAAAGGCCACGTCAGAACTTTTGATTTCACATTATCCTCAGCCTTGATGATTATCTAGAAATCTCTGTGTGTGGGATGGACAACAAGCAAGAAATATCCAGCACAGAACCCTGAAACTTAACCTAAATGGCTGGTCAGTCTGAAATCCAGTCAGGTGTGGCAATTACTGTAAAGGACAAGAGATATGGGTGGCAGGGTTGGGACAGCATACAATCAGGGGAGGTTGGATGGCTTGGGGGTTGGTGGAGAACATCACAGGAATAGGACCAGTGCAGCAGAATTGGAACCGTGGTTTGAAATCTCATTTCTCGAGCTGCAGAAGTAAACCGAGAAAACAGCCGACTTTTTCTTCTTTGGATAAAAGAATTTCCAAGACTTCTTCCGGGTTTCGCCCACAAAAATACACAGTCAATTCACTTTGCATTCTGTGGATTCTGTGAGGCGCTTTGAATGTCCGAAGACGTGATTAGGGCTATATCAAATGCAAGGATTATTATTTTAAATTATTATATACGGTTAAAACTTCTCCGCAACAGCCACCCAAAAAATCCACCAAATCAGAGGGTTGTCATCCCCAGGAAAGGTACTGGTGTTCATAGATGGATGAGAGAAGCTTGAAAGTTGCTTTGATGTCAGCCTACCGCTCCTTCAGTAAAGGTCACTGCTAGTGATTCACTGACATGTAAACCTCTGCAAATGTTCATCTGTTCATTATCCCCCATAATGCAGTGAACCGCTTTCCCCCACGAGGGTTTAGAATCCGTTTATACATATGTCCACTGTGTG